GACTTTTTTTTATCATAGAGGCTCCCATTTCTTTGACTGGTCTCCCATCCTTTCCAACCAAGCACCATTTTCTTCCTAGTCGGGCATGACTTTTCTTCATGACTGGATTCACTATCTTCTCCTTTATTCTAACATCTCCACCAACATAGATTGGCTAAGGTGGCCTCATGTCTACCCATTTTGGTATTTTGGCTTCTCCGTCTTCCACTTCTTCTGAGGCTTCATAATTTCTGAATACCTTTGACAAGCCCTTTGGTTAAGAATCTCCTCCCAACCGTTGAAAAACATTCCCGGAAGTCTCTTTCTCAGCTGCCCGCATGATGCTTCTACAGGCTTCTTGATCTTTTTTCTCCTTTCTTCTAATCAATTCTTGATCAATAATAGCTCCTAATGTTGGCACTTCTAACTTACATTCACACTAGCACTTACTACACAACACCAGCCCTTTAACTATGACTGCTTTAGGTTTCTTGGGCAACTTGATAGTTCTTTCTATCGGTCTATCGACTTGCCTTCTTTCTACTTTCACTTCCCAAGTAGCTTTTCCTTTCCCTTTTTCCGCCTAAATTAAGTTGATCATGTTTATTGGGGCTTCTGGGAAGGGATCTGTGTCAATCATCATATTGGCTTGTGGTTTTTCCAACATCAACTTTCCCTTCACTATGAGGTCTTGTATCCAATCCCTAAACTTGACACAGTTGGTTATGGAATGATTGAAGGTATAGTGTAGCTTGCAATACTTCTTTCCTTCTTTCCTCTTAGCTCTTTGGCTTAGGCATCTTTTTGGTGTTGTCGGGCACAATCACTCTTGCCCACACCAACTCTTCATAGATCTCTGAGGCCATGGTTAGATCAAATGAATAACTCTGGTATTTAGGGGGTTTCATAGGGATAAATCCACCATCATTCATCATCACATTTTGATCCTTGACTGGTTGGACTAACCCCTTCACTATTAACGGTTTGAAGGGGGTAGTCATCTCTACCGCACACATGTCCATCCCTTCTCTTCCATGGCCATCATTTTGTTCTGGTTCAACTCCTTCAAACTCCACTTGGTGAATTGCCGCTTTACTTTTGTAGAAAAGAGGCACCTTAGATGAGTGTTTCACTTGTTGTTCTTCAAGCAATAGTTTCTCATACTTTGTGGCAACAATCACTAATTCTTGCAACTTCTTGAACTGTATATCATAAAACTTCTTCCTCAAAAGCAGCCTCAAGGCCTTTTGAGCAATGGATATGAGTTGGGCGTGATTGATAAGGAATTGGCACCTCATTCTTGTCCTTTTAAACCTCATCATGAAGTCCTCTATAGACTTATGTTCATATTGCTTCATCTCCACTAAGTCATTAATAGACATCTCGGGCTCCATCCTATAGAACTACTCATGGAAAGCCATCTCTATTTGTCCCTAGTTAGCAATAGAATTGGGGGGCAACAAAGAATACCATTGAGATGCTAAGCTAACCAATGAGTTCCCAAACAATCTTAACTTATAATTAAGATTGTCTTCAAATGCCACGCAATGGTTGGAGAACTTGAAGATGTGATCTCTAGAAGATACACTACCATTATCCCCACTAAAAGTGGGAAACGCGGGCATCTTGAAGTTAAGTGGAAAAGGATTCTGCTCATCAATATACTCCGCGTATGGCTTCTGGTAGGTGATCCTGAATAGCAGGCGAGCTTGGGGTTGAGCATTCTGGGCCACCATCCTTCTTAATTCAGCTAACTTATGTCTGAGCTGCTGGTTAGCTTTATTGTTGTATGGGGTATGTGGGGTTCCCTATTTCGGGCTACGATCATTCCCCGATAAGGTTTCCTTCTTTGGGTCAGGCTGTTTCCACTTGGCATCCCCTCCCTTATTGGCCAATGGTGGGGGCCTATAAGGATGTGGCTTGTCTGCCTTGGTAGGCTTGCCTTTTCCACTAGATTCTCCGATTAACTGGGGCATCCCATACTTCCTTGTTTCTTGCCCACTTTGCCCTCTACTATTTAGTGAAAATAATAGGGTCCGGGCAACTCTGCTTCTAGGATCTCCTCCAACACTGGCTGATTGGCTCCAGATCCTTCCTTGTTTTTTTCTTTATCCTCTTTTCCTCAAGCACATGAAATAGGGGGATAACTGGTTCTTTCTCAGGACTAACCTCTCTTATCATTTCCTTGGCATAACCATTTTTTGGAGTACAGTACTCCAGATGTAATCTTCTTTGCAAACTTCCTGTTAAGGAGCAGAGTCTGCTTACTTCTCCTTTGGTTTCCAAAGTGATATTTTCCATACTTTTCAGCACTTGTACCATGGTGGCTTGCAAATGTTCATTGGTTACCTTTCCTCCTGACTTCTCGGATGAAGTCGGGCTTTCTAGAATAGCTGGTCCTCGTAGGGAGGGGAAATCTTCTGGATGATCTGTCATGCTTGATCTTGGTAAACACTGGGATGGCCTGTATTCTGTTTTCCACCTGAAGGTTTTCTCCTTCCTTCTCCTTCTTGGCATACAAGACTAAATATGATCCCACAAGGTGTGCCAAAACTATCTTCGGGCAAAGATTTCTCTAGAGAAGGATTCTTAGACCTCAGCACAGCTCCCCAAGGGATTGGCACGTTGGATGTGTAGTTGGGCTCTTGCTTGTTGATGTGTTATAAGAAGACAAAGTTAGTTCTGAAAAGTGTCTTTGTGGGGCCTTAGGTATAGGCCTTGAGGCTCGCAATCAAAACTAAGTGCTAGGTGTGCCACTGCTGTCTTAGTATAGCAGATATAGAACAAGAGTATTTTTAGTCGATTACTTGCGCCCCAAGTTACTTGGACTTCTTGTTATCAAAGGATTGTAGTAGATGTGTTAAGTCCACATTAAGTTCGTTTTCTTCCCTTGTAAACAAGGACTTTTAGTTCATAGTCTTGTATGTTCGAATGGAGGGAGTCCAGATCCCCTTAAGTAATTTGTTTGGCCCTAGATTGATTTTAATGAAGATATATCCATTAAACTAACCAGATCCAAATGCAAATAAGACTCTTAAAGTAGGAAAGCAGGTGGATATGACTTGAATACATACTGGAGAATGCATTAAGTAATAAATCTACAAATTTAGAAAACAAACAATGAGCTTCGGGCAAGATTTCACCTTGTCTGTCAAGGTTGGACTTCTTGCAGTTACTTCTCTTTGTGTTAACAGGGGTTTATATGCTAAAAAGGGATGGATGGGAAACAAGTTTACAAAAGAGAATTGATATTACGCCACTAAGGGAGATAGTAGAGCTTTAAAATAGAAAAAGATAAGCTTTCTAAGGAAATCTAGACAAGAGATAGCTTGTCGCTAAAAAGGACTGAATCTGGATTGATTTCTACCGTAGCTACATCAACTGAATTTTTTCACATTTTATTTACCGTTAGAGCCTAAAGCCCACAAACACAAAAAAAGAAAGCCAGAACAAGTATTTTCCAAGAGGGTATTATCAAACCAATGAATATTTAAGATAATTAGCTTCAGGGCAAAAATCAGCCAGACCATCGCCTTAAAGTTACTCTTTATACATGGCACCACCTTGCGATTCCGTCAAACGGGGAATGATCACGAGTCTTCTCTTACAATGCGAATAATAAATGTTACTAAACCATTTATTTATAAAAATAGAAGTTCTCAATTGAAAAAGTATGTATTATTTTCTATATTATGTAAAAATAATTGGGAGTTGAATCCCTCAGCCTTATTAAACTTGAGTTGTTCATTTTGGTTACATGTTTGTTGATCACTTTGTTTGTCATAACGTTCGTGTACACACACACACACGCACACGCACATTCTGTTTATTTTTAGTTCTTCATTCATTGCATTTCTATATTTTCATATGTTGTTTTTTTTTTTCTTGGGTTTTTTTTTTCTTGGAGAAATACATTATCATATTGTATTATATAACACAAACACTTTTTTCCTTCAGGGGTGGAATTTTTTGCCAAATTACCATACCAACCGAATTACCAACCATACCATATCAAAGTTGTGCCAAAAAATTTGTACCATTGGTAGTGGTACGGTAATGGTATTCAAAACCATTACTAGTGGTATACCATACCATACCACTACTATTAATATTATATCATTTATTTATTCATATAATTAGGTATTGTTATCATTATATATGCACTTTATATTTTTTCCTAGTCATTTATCCAAAACCATCCTCTCACCCTCTAACCTCTACTTTCCAATTTAAAAAAAACTAAGCCTTCTTACTGTTGCGACTTCATCTTTGCACTCATCTTGCTATCGACTTCATCTTCGTTGGTCCCGTTCTGATGACTCTCTCTCTGCCGTCCATCTCATCTTCTTCTTCATCAAATTTGGTTGTCCTTCTCCCTGGCTTCATCTGTCAAGTTAATTTTTGTGCAATTTTAAAGAATGTGGAGAAGGAATTTAGGAATCTTTGTACTATTTTTTTTTTTAAGGGATGATGGGTTCTTTTAGCAATTTTTCCATCTATTTATTTCTTTTTTCTTAAATGAATTTCTATAAAATTCCCAAAGAGAGTGGCTGAAACAGGTTTGGGCCTTGAATTGGATTGGAAAAAAAAAACAAATTTTGGCCCAAAAAAGTGGCCCAAAACAAAGTGGTAATTACTATTACCATACGATGCCAACCAAACTATTTGGCATGCCGAAATTCGGTATCAAAAAGTTTACCACAATAATGGTAATAGATTTTGTCATACCAAAAGTTTGGTAAGATAATTGGTACATGAATTTTGATACGGTAATCGTACCAATACCATCCCTAATCATATATAACAAAAGCAGCTAAATTGGATTAAAAGCTGAAACAAGGAACGTCTCCGCTAGAAAGTGGACGATATTGTACAGTAATGCGACAAATAATCAATATTGTTCATCACATGTTTTATAAAAGTGAGGCCCGCATTCACATGATTCCCAACAATTATTAATTAATACAAATATTCTAACCACCAACATCTAAAATTAGTTTGAAGCTCGGGCCCGGCGTGATAAATTTCAGCTTTATCAAATGTTTCCAATTGTTGTGACTTTATAGAATGAGCTTATCGATCGTCACTTGCGTGTTGAGTTATTGAGTTTTACATATATATATTAGTAATTTGAGACGTCACAGCAACAATAAACTGGTTTCACTTAAATTCTCCTCTTAGTATGGACGTTTATCCTCATAGTTACCAGGAGGATCATAGCTGCAGATGACAAAAACCCAATTATTGTCACACTTGGCCCTTGCACATCCAAGATGAATCGAGTTGCGCCAAACCACCTGAGTATAATGTCCGCATTCATCACCAACACACTTATTGGAGGCGTAGTTATAGTTGGGTTTCTCAGTCACCCAAAACTTCACAGCTTGAGCACCGGTCATTTCTCCATAGCCTTCAGCCAAGTTCTCACCATAAGGCCCTCCTGAGTGCTCCATGTCACACCCTCTCACTCTTGTATTGGCATACTGCTGAGCATAGGCTGCTACAGTGTCGTTCCATTTGATCGGACCGACACCAACTGCTGCCCGAGCTCTGTTGTGTTCATCGACGAAGTCTTGGTGAGGGTTAGGGGAATAATAACCGACTTTCCGGGCTAGGGAGGTATGAGCAGCTAAGATTAATGCTGTGGAGAATATGCATAGTAAAAGGTTACTAAAGTACCCCATTTTTCTGTATCTTCGTGTAAGATGCAGGTGGGAATATCAGAGGTTGATCTTAACACAAATGGGACATGAGATTATGGTATTTATAGAGAGAAACTTCAGTCACAAGAATTGTTTAACTAAGAGGGCTAAAATAAGAATTCTAAATAAAATTATTAAAATAATTTTTACTTCGTTAAAAGATATTCTAAATTCAAATCTCAGGAAAAATATATGTTGAAATATAAAATAAATTCTGTACTTCACTCACTTTATCCCAAACTTTTTAATAGATATCGCATCTAATATGATCAAAATTATTACTTATTCTGAATAATTTAGGGGTTTTTGGTTAAATATTGAAGAATATAAGTAGAAGTAGGCTATTTCAACCAGGTGCAGTACAAATGGACAGCAATAACATGGCTAACGTAAAGGGGTTGCTGGACTTTTGCACCCATTGAAGACGACCCCAAATTTCATCCAATTAACCAAAAATCTCATGCAAATGATGTTGATTAGTTTTGGAGGGAAAAAACAAAAAACAATGAACCGTTTATTGCTAATAACTAACAAGTTAGTAGTAGGGTTTTTTTTAATTTTTTTTTTTTTTTTAAAAGCGTAGACGAGAGCATATATACATTGTGATATTGGTCGTCTGATTCTCAGTTATTTGGTCCTTGATTGCACATTCATTGTTCATTCATATATATATGCTATGTTTTGATAGTAGTAGAAAGGTGCATGTAGTCTAACCGTGCTAGGACATCAAATCTATTCACTAAGTTTTATTCTATAATACTACGTGGTGTTTGTTCTATTTAAATTTGAATCTAACATTATGAATGGCCAAATTATTATTTTTTTTTTTAATAAAACAAATGATATTTCTACTCTAAATTACTCTAAAGAAAGTAAGGTTCGATCAAACCCAAAACACAAATTAGGCAATCCACTCCTTGCATTCAAGTTATTATTTATTGTTTTAATATATTCACGGCCGACCCAAATTTGTGTTTCTGTAAGTCTTCCACCGAAACATTATGCCGCAGAGTCAAGGGGAAGCATGCGTAGAAGTTTGAAGAATTATCAATGATATCCCCAGCTAGCTAATCACGCTTATAATAGCATAAGGTGGATCATGTGAATTCTCTTGTGACTACTCACTATCTTATGGCCAAAAGCCAATTCACTATAGAACATAGGGTGCTTGTCACTATAGAAATAGAAAATTTGGTTATGATCACTGTTGGCACTACATTATCAGATCCGGCAATTTGTGTCTCTTGGCTTACAGTGAAGCTGATCTGGTCTTTGATCGAGTCTCTATCTCTTGTTTTCTTTAATCAATGAGAAACAAGAGATTTGAATTTCAGAATTTTTTTCACCATGAGAAAGAGAAATACGACTAAACCAAGAGTTAGTTATCGTCTATATGTCTCGTTTGTTTGGGACAAAAGGAAAAGGAATAATGTAGGCAAAGTCATAAATTTGAGAAGGTGCCTTGTGTTAGACGAGTTCAAATCTTCTACAACCAAAATGGATGTGGCTTCTCTAATTTCGTGACACTTGTCTAATCATAATCATTTTAAGTGTAGAAAATTTGAACTCGTATCAGACATACACATTTCGGATAGTAGTAGTACTAACTAGAATTTTTCTAGTCACATCCCAACACACATCTGAGTTAACCCCATTAAGTGTGGAAAACTCCAAAAAAAATGAAAAACTAAACGCAGTAACCCCCCCGGCGGGGGCGGCGCAACCACACCGATATCCTCCACCAGCCCGACTATCGGCCTCCTTTCTATCATTAATACATCTAAATTAGGGCAGTATTTCCATTATCAACCATCGAATAATCAACAAACCACTAGTTAGACAGAGAGCGCAACAAGAGAAAAGAAGAAAAATGTCTGAGTTTTGTATTCAAGTAATCTCAGCAACACATTTTTTTAATTGCAAAGGATGGGGGAAGGGAAGAGGGAGGGGTTATTCAATTCAATTTTAAGTTGAAGAGGGGAGGGAGTGGACAGGGAGGGTGCTGAGCCTGTGGCCATGTGGTGTGTGTTGTTTATTTTCATAATTTTTTCTTTAATTAATAAAAGTAAGATTGGTTTTAGAAAAGTATTGGGGTGAACTTGGATGATCATGATGTGTGAATAGAAAAACTCTTCAAACTAATTGCATGCTTGATTTACAAGTAGAGAAAATTTCGGACATCATATCATGGCCACTTTTGTGCAACCAGACCTGGATTTATTTTCCTTCCTCCCCGTTTATACCAGTTATAGAGTTGAAACTTATGGTTATTTTCCTTCCTCCCCATTTATTTATCAGTTATAGAGTTGAAACTTATGGTAAAGTGATGTAATGAAGGTCACGGTATCAACGGACAACTTTTTGTGGAGCTAACTGACCGCATATCCAGTAATTTTGTGTCAAAAGAAGAATCCTTTTCAATTTTGATTTCCTATAATTATGGCCTCGCCATGTTAAAGTCTGATGTAAAAAAATTCTGAATAAGATGACTTCTTGATCTTATAAATATTAAAAAAATTAACATTGTGTTTGGTAGAGAAAATTTGAGATTACTAACAAAATGACGGAACTAGAAATGACCAAATTTTATTTTTTAAACTTTGTGAAATTTCTTGTTTGATTAACTAAAAGGACAATGGAATTTGTATATGGAAATTTTTTTTTTTAAACACTCATTCATAGAAATATAGAAATAACACATATTTACGTGAAATTTAAACTTGAGAATTGAATGTCCCAAATTCCAAGTTTTTCTTTTCCAGGCGGAAATTCTAAATATCTATATTTATTAATCCAAACAAAAAAATTGGTTTATCTCCATTTATAAATCCTGACTTTTGTTAAAATTCCAAATTTATTTCTCTAATCAAAACCTACTGTAAGTTGCATATTCCTTTCTCTTTTTTTTTTTTCAAGGAGAAAGAAAGCACTTTAGTATAACCATTGGGCAAGGGGAAAGCTGGTACTATATTTGGCTTTGGGTTTAGAATTTAGTCTTTTCTTGCTACAAAAGACATTAAATAGGGACATGAAGGGGAATGCTGGTATCTATATATGGCTTTGGATGTGAAGATAAAATACCCATATCACCATCGAAGCAACAAGCCAAAGAGTACTAAGAGAATATAGAATGGATCAAAAGCATATAATTGAGAACTTTTCATCAAAGAAGATTCGTTGGACCGATCATAGGATGTTGTATCTCTATTCTTTTTGGCCAAACACCTACATTTTTTTTATTTTAATATTATTAAGGGGAGGGTTTAAAACTATTACAATAATAAATTGGGAAGTTTTGAATCCGGAATGCATGAGTGGAAACCCAACACCATGTCCACTAGGATATTAGACCACATGCATTGGTCAAACAAATACCTTCATGCGTAGATTTTTGACATCAGAACCTCCACCGTTCCCGAAATTTAGCCCGACCAACCACCCAGAACTCTTATACGCAACCAGCGAATCCCCATTCAATAAAATTCAAAAACACAACAAAAATAAACAAAATTCTGAGAAAGGACTCACAACCAAGGCAGTTAGCGAAACCCAAATCCTAATTAAGCAACCAAATAACCTCCTTTCGTATCAATTCAATCTCGATGAGCTTAGAGAGCAAGGGAGTAGACCAAATAAAGATGTCCTAGATGAAAATTTCAATGTGATCGAATCGAAAGAGTAAAACCCTAGAAATAACACTCCTATAAGGATCCAAATATACATGCCTGGAAGGGAGGCGGAGCAACCCATTGCGAACCTCTGATGTTAGTCAATTGTGCCCTCCAAAAGAAATATTGGTACCCATTAATCTAACAACATTTTTGTATTGTACTTAGGGCTGGTTTGGTTCGTGCCCAATTCCAATTCCAGTTCATACCAATTCCAATTTTAATTCATACAACTTTTATAGTCTATACTAGCAAACTAGTTAAATTAAAAATGCAAGCAATCAAAATGAAATAAGTCAAGTTACAAACCAAACTTCCATATGAATTTAAATTAAATTACAAACCTAAAAACAAAAAGTTATGTTCTCTTCAGATTCATAACCCCAATTCAAAATTAGAAACAAGGTAGCAAACAACACGAACAATCAACCACATATTAATAAACACCCCAATTCAAAATTTTTACAATTGCAATACCAAAAATAAACACCATACTGAAAAGCAACACCAAAAATCAACCACATACCAAAATCACAATTGCATGCAATCAAAACATAACATAATAAAAAACCTCAATTCTCCCAAACCCTAGAAATCAACCAAAGATTGATAAATTTCAAATAAAACCCTAGATTTTGAATACCAAATTTAAATTATTGAAAAATCAAAAGGGACTTACAGACTTGTGGGAGAAAACCACAATCCTAAAAAAAAACCCCTAGATTTTAAGGCTCGAGCGTCGCTCGATCGAGAAAGGGAGTCAGAGTGACATATTAAGCATGTGAACCGGTTTATGGTGTGGTCGAGAGAGACGGTATGCTATGGCTAGTCGGAGTCGAGACTCGGAGGAGGTGGGTGGATGACAGGTAGAGTCGAGTGAGAGTGTTCGATAGATCTGAGGCCGAGTGACAGAAAGGAAGGGAGAATGAGAGTGAGGTGAGAACTCGAGAGACCTAAATTGGTTTGAACTGTTGTGACTAAACCTAAACCAATATAACAATTCACATAATTAATAAGTTAACATTTTAAAATGAATCAGACATACATTTTTGGCATTCTTTGCACCCTTAAATGTAATCATGTTCGCACGTAACATTTGACCTTACAATATAATATGAGTCCACAACGTAAAAAACCAACCGTGTTACAAAAATAACAATGTCATTCAGTTTGATTGTTATAACCTTACCACTTAATTGGAACCTTGAACTATAACCGTTGGCAATTGTAGGGGTTAATTACACTAACACTCCCTGATGTTTGTCTTGTTTTCACAAAATCCTCTCATGTTTGATAAATAACACTAACATCCTT